CGTAGCAGAAGTGAGGAAAACTGTGAGGGGAGTCAATCCAAGGAAGGCCCCAGGGCCTGAAAACATACCTGGGTGGGTGTATAAGGAGTGTGCAGATCAGCTGCCTCCGATCATGATGAAGTGCTTAAAAATGCTGGTTAAAGAACACATCGTCTCCAGTCTGCCACCAACATTCGACCCGTTCCAGTACAGAACCGCTCCACTGAGGACACCATCTCTGCTGCTCTCTACCTGAGCCTGGCACACCGCAAGAAGGACACCCACATGCGGAAGCTGTTCCTGAACTTCGGTTCAACTTTCAACACCATCATCCCACAGCATCTGATGGGCAAACTGGAACAACTGGGCTTCTATAGACATTTTTTCACGACAACCGGAAGCTGTGTCTGAAAGGGCTGGGTCACTTCCTGTTTTACTCTGAAATATGTCTCTCCTCCTCTGGTCCTTTTCATCATCCTTACTTAATTTGCCAGCACTTTCTTTCGTGGATACGGAGGAAATTGCAGCGGCAAATCCCCCTGCCAAACAACTCTGTGAAAGGATACAAGTTCTTCCACGAAAAATATGTCCACAGCTATCAATGTAAGAAAAGACGTAGCTTAGCAGGCTGCAAGATATATACGCGAAAAACATTGTACTGAAGCCTAACTTCTAAATTACATGGAATATTGGAGACAGACACAGCTTAAACTTTTCAGTTATATTTTGACATTCTGAAATGTATTTACCACTACAGTTTGTGAAAAATAGCATGCTAGAATGTTATGTAAGTTCTGAGATACTATATGATGCTTGACGTTGCAACTATGTATGCTTTACTTTTGCATGCCTGTAGTGTCAAATATTATCGAGGGACGTGTCGTTGTCAGAGCTAGATTCTTCAGATCCATGAAGAAAAATGAGGAACCACACAAGCTGCAGGTTTGAAACAGTCAGAAAGGCGGTTTGCTCTTGTTGGTTTGAGTTCCAGTTCATATTTGATGGCTGAAGAACTTTCACGTATGCCCTCGGACTACTCAGGGCTTATTTTAACATTTTCCTGTTCAGTGGTTACTATATATTTTATGTTTCTGTTGCAGTTGCAACATGATCTGTTTTCTATTTTTCTTTTCTTTCTCTATTACGTGTTTAAAACTAAACATGCTATATGTATTGATGAATAAATTTGTTGTTAAAACACTTTTCTGTTTTAGATTTCACTGGGTGTTGGAAAAGAAAAGGCAGAACTGTTGGATTATTCCTGTAGTTGTGCAGCTGGTAAAGGTTTTTGCAATCTTCTAGTTGCACTTCTTTACCAGACTGCACCCTACTCCCAACTCCAGCTGCAAACTGTTCCTGCTGCACTGGTCTGCACCAGTGATTTACAAAGATGGCACAGACCAAGAACACAGGTAAGAAAAAAAAAACACATTGTCCTATGGTACGCCAAATCCTACAATATACTAAATATATTACATAAACAAAAATATATATTATATATATATATTATATATATATATATATATATACACACACAATCTTAAAATAACAGTTATATAGTTATGTAAACAATTTATTCCTCCTTCGATTGTGTCACTCAGACATTTGGGTTCCTTTACCACCTGTATTTTATGTGCCATATAAAATTTGTTGTAATCTCAATATTATTTGTGTCAAATACAATTTCTCATGATTTTTTTGGAATTTTTTTTGGTAGTGAAAAAAATATAGGCTCAACTGCTATTATTTAGTTTTATTTGCATGTTGGGTAAAAGCCTAAACTGTGCCATATCAGTCCCATTGTGTCCTAAGAAATGCTCACACATCCCTTTATTTCTTCTTTAATTTGACATATCTTTCTGTCTATTTCTTGTAAGGGGATACATCCTGAAGCTGTCAGTGACGTGGTGGTGCGGAATCCTCAAGATATCTGCACTCCACACTTTACAGAGCTTACACAGGTACAACTTTTGGTTTATTTTTTTTTTACCTATGTTTCCTTTGTCAAAAGTTATTAGGATTATTATTATTTTGTTTCTGATGTTTGTAGGACCACTTCCAGATCCTGACATTCTGGTATCAGGAGAAAAACTGAAGTTCCAACCACTTATTGCTCTTGTCCTAGATGGTCTTATGGGGCCTGTGCCACGGGGCTCACCTATGTTTTATCAGTGCCCACCTGAGAAGTCCTCAGGTATTATTCTGCATCACATGGCTCCAGACTTCCCTTCTCTTCCTCTGATGCAGCATAGCCTTCCGAATATGTGTTTTGTGCCCACACTCGGGCAACTTATGCATCTTCAGTCTCTGCAAGTGTCACTGGAAACTTCTTATGTAATTGAGGCCAGAACTAGACAGCAGTCCAGATGTCTTGCATGGGTACATCTTCGACAGCCAAGACTTACTGCTAGCCGTTTTCAAGATGCTTGCAGAGGAAGTGCAGAGGAGGCGTCTGCTGCAATGGCACTGGCATCTGGGACACGGACACGCTAACAATAACTGTTGAGCGGGTGTTGCGTGATGAGTCTTTCATTGATCAAATGAAATCTAAACTGGACTCATTTTACTTCAACGCCTTCATTGATGTGTTCATGTCAATGCAACAAAAATGATTAAATTAGTAATTTAACCTTTTGTTCCTTTGCATTTCAAATACTCAATCTCAAGCTGTGTGAATCCCTGTAAATAGTTGGTGTTAATGAAACATACACAGATGTGCAAACTTCTTTAAATTCTTCCTAGCCCGTAACATCATAGATGACCCCTCAGACCCCCACCATTCGATGCAGGTCCAGCAGATTCAATAACAGTTTCTTCCCCACTGCCATTAGACTGCTGAATGTTGTGTAAAATGGGTTATTTTATTTATTGAAAAAAATATATATATGCATATTTTTTAGAACTGTAAATATACAGTCATATGTATATATTACTATATTTAGTATGTATTTATTACTGTTTTTCAAGGCTGCACTTTAAAAAATTAAATTGTCTATAGAGCTGTAAACGAAATTTCTTTTTGTATACACTCGTGTGTTGGGATCTGGAGGTTTGTCCACTTTCTCCACCAGAGGGCGCACAAGATCTCCTGGAGCATGAGCCGACCGCACCACCTGTCTCTCATCTGCTCATCAGGAGATCCGTACTTAAGGAGGCGAAGGGCTTCACTCCAGTGCCAGAGTGTTTGCCAGTAACGGTTAGAAAGCCTGAGCCAACCTGCCTGTCTGTGAACTCTGACTATCTGTGAACCAAACCTGATCCCGCTTTTCTCCTCTCTGCCTCCCAGGTTGATCCTGCCTGAATACCTGAAACTCTGGAGAGTTTCTCTGCCTCTCTGCCGGTGATCTGTCTGCTCGTTCTCAGTAGGACTCTGGAGAGCAGCCTCAGTCAAGTACCTGCCTGCCTGCTCTCAGAAGATTACTGGAAGGAAAACTCAATCTGTGATCTGCCTGCACTCAGTAAGCTCTGCCTCCACCTCTGCCCTCAGCCTGCCGACAACCTCTGGACCCTCAAGGTTCCCCCCCTCTGCAGCTCTGCTCCATTTCCGAACAGGTACAGACCTGAACACTCACAACCAGCAAAAGACCTGGACCTCCACTAATCTCTCTGTCCTCCTCAGCAGTCAACCCACTTGTGACCAGTCAAGCCCCTTCTTGGATCTGAACATACTTTGTACATTTATTATTAATAAATCTTTGAACTTTTTCATCTGCTTCCGAGTGTTCTGCATGTGGGTTAGACACATTAATCCAAACATGACATTGTGTATACAAAATAAATCTGTCTACGTCTAAGGTTAGAGCCTTCAGGCATCTCTGAAGTGTCTTAATACAAGGAATCAAACATTTCTTGTCGACACATAGTCTTACTCTACAGGTGCTGACCCAGCCTCAGTTCTAACTGTCGCTGATCCAACTTATGTTACCACATGTCTTCCTTTCATTCATCTGTCATGTCAACAGTCTTCCCTATGACTGAGTCGCTTACTGACCCATAGTGATTTTCAAAATGGATTAGCCACAAAAATTATGGGAAACAAAAAGCTGAAATACACGACTATAAGTTTAATGCTTCTTTTTTTTAAATAAAATAGGAATTAGACTTTCCAAAATGAACGCTACTTTTATAGGTTTTTTTTTGTTTGTTTGTTTTATGTGTAATTGTATATTTCTTTTAAAATATACTACATTTTTAACAAAACAACCATTCACGAAAGATAGGCAAGAAAACTTTTGGGCACATATGCAAATATATGGTGGTTGCAGCATGGGAGCCAATGGGAGGATGGATGGTGATAGCAAGCCCCGACAGCAGACAGTAAGCTAAAAAAATGTATGCTGATACTCTGACTTTGTGTGTTTCGTTTATCTTGGAAGAGGTAACATGAAAACATTTTAGTTGCATTTTTAATTAAAAAAGAGGAATTAAAAATTTTTTGGACTTAAATTACTTATAACTAGAAAGTTTAGGCAATATTTTGGACACCACTAGTTTACATCAAATAATTTACATGTGTTAGGATAGCGCAAAGTCCAGACATAAATCTAAGATTTTGAAGCTACACTTGAAGATGTTTATAGATTCTCTGACTAATTTTAATGGGATTCAACTTCTTTGCCAATAACAGGTAAAAAATTTAGTTTTCACACATCCACAAAGCTAGTAGAGATACATTAAGGCCTGCTGCTGTAAATACAAAGTAATATAAGTAATATTTCAAAATTATTTTTTATTTTTCTTCCACGTTAAGGTTAGAAGCACCTTTGTGTTAATTTCACGAATAAAGTCTCAATAGAGACATTGAAATCCTGTGGTTGTAAACTGGCACAGAGGGAAAAAGTTCAAGTCGTGTGAATATATTTTGCCAGCCACAACAAAACATCAGGAGCCACATCGGTGACTTATAAATGCAAATTATTCCCAATAACTGCATAGAGGCAAAGATAAATAAGGATTTACTGTTGCTGCTTTCAGCAACTGTATGAGGCGTAAACCATGTACTTTATGTAAGTTTTATATACCAGAACAAGAGTCCGAAGAAGGGTCTGACTGGAAGAGCAGACACATGCTCAGTTTCTGCAGAAAACCACAGCACAATGCATTCAGGCTCGGGTTCCTGCAACAATTCATAAAAGGGAGAGATTCTCACAAAGGACAGAATATAATAATGAAAAACGGAAGCAGAGAATAAAGGAAAGAAAATGCAGAGGAGAGATACATGAAAGGTTTGTACATGGAAAAGTGTACTTTGAGACACAGGACAGGATGTGTTTCACACACACACTCCTTTTTAAAATGAAACAAACCCACCAAGTATAGTTCACTTTCATTACAGCTCAGAGCAGGGGGCCTACAACCTGCTCCAACCGTAGCCATTTCTACAGCCACACTGCCATACACAGCAGCACAAAAACCAACAAATAACAGCAAACGTGCTTTCATATAAGACATTGTGTGTTTAGACTGCAGTCGCATCACACTGAGACCAACACATTACTGAAATCATTCAGTTTTTCTCAGCCAGATTGTTTTTTTCCTCTGACTGAGCGATTCATGTGTCACTGAAGCGGATTTTCTAGCTAAAGACAGAGAACACATGCGTCTCCCAGTCTTAACCAGTCAACGCAGTTTGTTAATTACTGTTTATGACTGTTTCTGTCTTTGTGTATTCTGTTAGCAGGGCTCCTACAGCATAAGGCAAGTTAAATTCAAGACTTTTTAAGACTTTTTAATGCCACTTGAATAAAAAATCTAAGACCAAATTCACAAGAAACACAAGAAAAACCAGCTTGCGACAACTTAACCCAAAGGTTTATTTTAACATAAACCACTGCACTAACGTTTCAAATTTTGAAAAGCTTCCCATACAGGAAGGAAGCTAAAAACACACAAATGACAGATATATTTTAACAATTATTTAACTAAATTCACAAACTTTGTTTTAGCAGGGAACAAAACCAATCAGTTTTAAAGCCACAACATAACCAGTGCTAAGTCTTTTTTTGCAGCTATTTTTCTTTGTATCGTTTTCTTAGTATGTTTGATTTGGTGATAAGTGGAGGCGTGCTTCGCATGTGCGACTCCACTGCCTTAAGTTCCGAGCTTGAATGACTTCTTGCACAAAATACACTGTGCCCCATGTATGTTCCCTGGTTTTAGCCATGGAGAAAACTCTTGGCTGGATAGCCAATTTTCGTTACATTTACACTTGCTCATATTTTACAGACGAAAAGTTAATGGTGCATCTCCCAACTGTCCTGGCCGCAACAACGCTTTTATTGGTTCCGCTATTGGGACGGAACCAATAATGGCGAGCCATTTTTTTTTTTAATAAAAAAAAATAAAAAAATGTCAATTGTAACGTTTTATTTAGATTACAAAACTAAATCGTAACAAAAATAGTCCTACTTATGATGTTTTAAAAATTAAGACCTACGAAAGACTGATTTAAGACATTTTAATACCAATTAAGGCCTAGGTTTTATTTGGAAGAATTCAATGCCTTTTAAGACTTTTTAAGGATTAGTGGTTAGTGTACCTTTTTCCTGTGCAGAGGAGGGCTTTGTGTTCCACAGCCAGTCGATAGAAACCAGAAGACACTAGAACGGGTAAGGCAAGGAGAACAATTATAAGACTGTAAGAAAGATGTAATTACAACCACTCATTTAAAATAGATAACCAACAAATTTAAAACTTCCAAACTTCTTTAACAGCTTATCTTAAATTTATTTCAAAATTCAAGCAGGAAAAAAACGTGTTCAGTTAAATGTGTTTGAAGCTGTGGTATTTGACTGCACTTCTTTTATTAATCAAACTTTCCAATACCTGTGGGTGTTTCCCTGTTTGGAGCGAAACCTTGTTCAATAAGTACCTTACTACAACACAGTAACGCCTCACAGATACCCAACAGGAACATTTTGATTTAACTCCTCTAAAAAGAAAAACATCGGATTATATGTCATACTGCTATACTATGAAGTTCCTTCTAAAAATGATCTGAAAGAAACCTTTATTTTACTTTCAAGAACAGATCTTTAGCAAAAGCAAGTAGTGGATTGTGCATATATCATACAGCTGGTTTTCACAAACATTTTACAAAAGCTACTTTAAAATGAGATACATGTGTGAAAAATTATTGTTGTGTTATAACATTTTAAAATAAATCAGTGTCTTATAAAGCTCACCAAGTTTACTTGCAAACCATGGCATTAAAGATGGAAGAAGGACAAACTGCGAACAGAGGATGAAGTAGAGGGGCTCCAGCATCTGGGCACTGGGTAGACCATTACATGTTTTCTGTAGATTAAGATAAAAATTAGTTATTGTGTTCATTTCAAAAAACATAATTTAAACAAATAATTTCTAAAAAAAACAAAAAAAAACAAAACAAAAAAAAACATATCAACAGTCATTGGTCTCTGTTTTCAAAGAACATGTTTTTTGGCTATACATGTTAACATCATCATGGGGAGAAACTCAGCTGTTTATTAAAAATGAGAGCACAGTAAGGAAAAGCAAGATGTTGACGAATTCAATTTATATTATAAAATATCTATTATAAAGTAACTTGCTTCTTAAATTTAACCCCCGAAAAAGAGACTACTCCCTGAATTAGCTGTAGTTTTCCTTCTCTATTTTATCAGATTTGTTTGATGCCATCTTTTAAATTGTCAGCTTGATGTGAAGTAGTTTAAACCAAGCTTTAGCTGTACACTTAAATTTAAAAAAACACTGACATATACTTACAAGGGTTCTTTGTAGATATAATCCAAACCAAAAGCATCACTCCTCAATATTAAAGGTCCCATATTATGCATAATTCAGTTTATAAACATTTGTAATAGTCTGTGTCCTGAAGCCTGTAAATGAGATTCTCCAAAAAAAAAAAAAAAAACGTTTCCCCTCTCACTGCTCTACCTCTTAGCTAATCTGTGCTCAAAATGCTCTGTTTCAAATCCCTCCCTAGGTAACATCAATAGGAAAAACAAAAACAAAACACTCCTCTGGTAGCATCTGCTGTCTTTCTGCTCAACACCAAGCATCCCAAAAGACATGGCTAACATAAGAGCTAAGCTAAGCACAGCAGATTCTCTGTTAATGTCTTCATCAAAGACATAAAAGTATTTTTTACTGCTTTCATCTGAGCCCCTGAAGACTGAATGGATGGGTTTTATTTTAAATGGAAATCTACCTCCTGCAAAACTTCTGGAGGTTTTTCACCTGTGTACTGAGCATTTCAAAGAGGACTGCTTTGTTGACTAGCACCGGTCAATCGGCCAAAGTCGTCTACCAGCTGGTTTATTATGAAGACAACAGATTTAAAGCGCCGGCCATTGAGGCTCTGAGTGTTTTTTCTCTGAGCGGACATGCAACCCTGTTGCACCTCAAGACGAAAGCGGAGGATTGGATAGGTAGGCCAGGAAATCAGGTTACTGCTGTGCGGGAGTATTACAGCGGTAATTTCGTGAAGCCCGACAGGGAGAATGAGCAGTTAAGGCTAGCCGAAGCTAGCCTCGAGAAGCTAACTGCTAGAGGTGGAGGAATGACAGACGAGCCTGCCAGGCAGACAGTGCAGGGAGCAGAGGGGGATACTGGCCAGTGTCTGTGCTGTAGGTAGAACAACAAAATAGTCCTTCTAGGGCTAAATTAAAGCAACTTCTTTAAAAGTCTCCTAAAAACCTCTTAAGAGCATTCTCGCTTCATCCTTTGTCAACCTTATTTTCTCAATCTTCCATTTAGATAAAAAAAAAATCTCTCTTCTTCATTAAAATAGTGGTCAATTAATGATACTTTCTCCTCTCCTACATGTTTTATTCAAGTTTACTGTGTCAGATTGCTTAGCCTGATAGCCTGTAAACAGTTAGCACTGCAGCTAACATTTGTATCCTCGGCTGTTTTGATCAGAGGTGGGTTTTTATAAGATGGATCATCTTCTCTATGCTTCAAAAATAGTCTTATCTTAACAGGATATCTGCAGTCATATTGATTGTGTTTAATTACTCAGCTCAGGCTAACTTGCTACTGGCTATGCTTATTTGTTTATTGAAAGGTTGTTTACACTCTAGGGTTTCCAGCCGTCCCTAGAAAAACAAGATTCCATGCCCTGGGTTGAGATGAATAAAGGGAGATTTGTCCGTATTTCTGGTGGAATAAGAAAAATGTATCATTGTTAACAAAATAAATGAATGGCAAAGCGTTCATCTAGTCAACATGCTCCTGTTGTGTGTTGTTGTCAATTATAAGCTGCTCATACTGTAGTTGTCTGTAGCAGCCCATCGGTTAAGGTTGGCCAGTTTCTTCTTTATTATTATACTCTTCTAGCTGCCATCAATATGAACTCTGACTGGTTGCAATGGTTACAGGTTGCGGTGGTGCAGTTTCGGGAGGCTGAGGGCGTGAAAAGCCAAAACAGCTCATTTAGAAGAGGGCTGAATGAGAAGCTTTTTGGTAGGTACTGTCTAACTATTCTGAGAGGATTTTTTCCTGCCTAAACAGCAAAAACATGCTCTGGGGGACCTCATTTTTAAAAGTAAAATATGGGACCTTAAATATTTTTAATAGATTGATAGTTTAAAAGATTGTCTGCTGTTGGTTGATGCTGATCATCTTCTTCAACATTTCGAGTATTGTGGAGAGATTCAATATTTTGTGTCACTCATTTAAGAAACTAATGTATTATACAGGTTCTTGTAGTTTTAATAATTACAGCTTATTAAAAAAATTAAATGGTTAAAATTTTGTGAAAAAACTAAATATGGAAAACTTATGATCTCACCTCCTAAAAGGCTAATTAACTCAAAACACCTGCATCCACTAATGCAGAGGTCACAGATTAGCAGATTGCAGTTCGGATCCGGACCCACCTGCTGGCTAATCCAGACCAAACCTGATTTAAAACATTTATAAATTACCGTATGTTGTCTGACGGCCTCTTTAAGGCTATGTTCATACTGCAGGCCTTGATGCTCAATTCGTTTGATTTGCTTGTGAAATTTTTTTGCATTGCTGTTCACATTTCCAAATATATGCGACTTGTATGTGATCTCCTGTATGAATGCAATTCATACTATTCATGCATGCGCAGTAGAGGATGCAATGACGTCACAAGCAAGCGTGCTCTGTGTTTACGGAAATAAACATGGATGGTAGTGCTGGAGATCTTTCCAAGATGGTTAAACCTAAATACTACTCTCCATATTATTGTCCACCATTGTTATTGTTTTTATTGCCACTTCAGCGTAGCAAGAGGCAGAAGAGTGACCACTGTCGGGTATTAATCCAATTCAGGTCTGATGGATGCGACCTGGCTGTTCAGACACAGGTCGCATTTGAAAAGATCAGATTCGTATCGGATTCAGGACCACATAGCCAAGTGGCCTAGGTTGCATTGGAAAAAATCTGATCTGTGTTGTTCAGACAGCCATGAAAAGATCAGATACAGGTCGCATGTGGGCCAAAAAATCAGATTTGGGTCACTTCAGGCTGCAGTGTGAATGTAGCCAAAGACACATTAGGCAAACCTGTGGCAAGCCGGGCGGTGGGAGAGGAAGAGAAGATGATGAGAAAAAGTGAAAACAAGTGTTGACTGCTGGAAGAACTGTGGTGAACTGGTGACAGAAAAGTGAAATAGCGTGCTCAAAGATGACCCTGCACATTTTGAGTATGTTTTCGCTCAATCTGCTGCCGTGTAGCAGGATTCTCCACCATGAACATAATTAAAAATACATATCGATCCAGGCTATAAATGAGCACCTTGATATGTGCTTGAGAATGTCTTTGCCTCCATTCAAACCAGGTTTAAAGCCTTGAAGGGCAGCCTAAAGCCCACTGCTCTCATTAAGCCATAAAAAAGAAAAAAAAAAAAAAACGGTCCGGCGGATATTAGAGCCAATCAGTGGCCATCTCTAAGATATGGTGTTGTTGTCTTTGATGAGGTCCTTGAGATTTGTCTTTTAAGCTTAACATTTTTATTTTTTGTTGCAGAAATCCTGCCTTTTTAGAAGCATCTCTAATAATAAAAATGACTAATTTATAGATCTTGAACCATTAAAATTAAAGTGTGCACTTTTTATCTTAACTTTGTTTTTACCAGCTAATGCCACACAGTATGGATGTGAGTACATAACTGCGTTTAGCCCTTACAAGCACAGCTGGTATCCAAACAGAATCACAGCAGCGCAGCAGACAGTGACAAACAGATTCCAGTGAATCAGGAGCATCACTGTGTTTATAAGGGGCTGTAAATGGGTTCTTCATCAGAGCTGGCTCTGACGCACACTCCTCAGCAAGCCTAGAACATAAACAGCACCTTTTCAAACACATCAAATCCAGGCTACACAGAGAAAACAATTACAATTTTACTTACAACAACAACCCCCTATTTTTAATTAAGCCTATTTGTTTATAGTTTAATACACTAAAATCATTCCAAACTGATTATCTCTTAATAATTAAAAACAAGCTATATAGGAAACACTAATTAGATGATCATGTTATAACAAAAAGGCTGCTTACTACATAGCGTTGAGAGGTCATTACTTATTCTAACTCAGATTGTTACCTGCAGGCTGCCTGAAAACAGATCATAGCCTGGAGCAGAAATCCTTTGGAACGAAACGTCAGGCTGCTAGAATCTGAACTTCGTCTGTTGCCCTGTAACATAACAGCAGCGGGTTGATAAAGCTAAGGGAGAGACACCGTGACTTGATAAAGACAGACTCATAAATAATATTAACACCAATAATCATATCTGCTCTTGCTGTTTACAAGCAAAGAATGTTGACAGACTGAAAACCACGGTGTGTACTGTCAGGTATGAGTTTATCAATTCCTGACCTGAACTAGCAGGTATGAAACCTTGGAGAGCACTGAAATATTTCCAGATAAGTTATAGATTTTTTTTTTTCCATGGACACTGATGTAAAAATACATAAAAATGAAAAAGAAACGATTAATATCCACAAAATAACAGCTTTAATTACAACATCATAATTATTAAATATTTTAAAATACCTTTATTATTTTATATCTAAATTATTTTCTTCCAGTCGTTATGAAAATATTAATATTTCATTATTACTTTAGATTACTGGTCCTTTCGTTAGGGGATTATTTGTCCTAAATTGTTGCATGTGTGTTTCACCAGACATGTTGATTTGAGTATTTCAGAAACGACTACTGCTGAGAATTTTAAAGGCAACAAGTCATCAGGTTTGCAGAAAATATTCTGAAAGGAGGAAAAACACGTGGCGGTTGGTTGGAGCTGAATACACTCTTGGTGTAAAGGACCGTGGGCAGACTGGTTCAAGGTTGACATAAATACAGCAGTCACTCAAATAACCAGTCATTACAAGCCAATAATGAGGAATGTAGTTAATGAATACATAACAGGTCCAACCTTGAAGCAGATGAGCTACGGGTGAAAGGAACTGGTAAATTAAGCTACAACTCACACAGCCTCATGTGAACTAAACAAAACAGATAGGAAAAATGTTCCTTGGTCCGATGAGTATTGATTTCAGTTTGATATGTTCGGGACTGAATCTCTTTCTGAACATACTTGTTTTGCAGAATCACTTGTATCACTTCTCACAGCCACCAGACGTCCTTGTTGCCTGTCTTTGAGCCTGCCCCACCCACCTCACCTGCTTCCAGCTCCCTGATGAGGACTTTCTGACATTTATTTTTTTGTTATTTCAGTGTCCTAATTTTTATCTAATCTAATTTGTTGCAGAATGAGATAAACTGTAACTACAGAAGTGTAAAAATATCTGAATGCATTTTTTTCCATAATAACATTAGTGTCCTCTATTAGAAAAAATATGAGCAATTCTACTCTGAATTGATCTTTTTAACCAAATTAAACAAACATAGTTTTAGGTAAGTAATTGTTATACAGTTAAAAATGCATGTTCCCAGCCTGAGAAATGTATTTAATTTATACCATTTTATCTATTCAGTATTGTCCTTGAAAATAAGGAAATATGTTTCTAAGCCCTAAGACATTTACTCAATAAGACTGTCTATATGAAACATGTTTTTCAAAACAGGGTTGGCATTAAAACAATGGATTTAAACAACTATCTCATTGCCTTACATGCTGAGTAGCCATGGTAACTGGTACTCATCCTTTAAGCCTTTTGCCAAGCAACTGGTAAAATGCTATTTATTTCCACCTCTCTGATAGACTTAAAAAAGATACATAAGCCATGTAGATATCAAGAACTATGAAGGACAAAAAATTCAAGTTGTTGCCATGATCAATTATAAAGCAGCCCACATAAAAGTAAATCAAAACTGTGAGTCAAAGACTTTTCTGGGTGCCTTAAAATTGCTTTTATCTCATTAGAAGAGCAATGATAAGGTTGTAAAATAAAATAAAGGATATTATTACACAAGATGTTACAAAACATATCCCTTTTTTATTTTTTTATTTATCTGGCTATTTATCTATCTTTAAAAAGAGTTAGTCATTTTAAGAAGGAAATGAAGTGTTGCATTTAGTTGATAGAATCACACATTTTCTGGGGCTTAAATTTCAACATTATGATTACTTTACAAGCAGTACTTCCTGACACACCACATCAATCATTTTATAACCCACTATGATCTTGTCTGTTAATACTTTAATGCTTAGAATAATAATGTTGAGCTTTATAAACCAAAAGGTATGGACCTTCTCTATGCATTTTGTTCATCTAAGAAAGACTACTAACACTTTGAATCTGCTTGGAAAACATATATTTTACTTTGCTTTTAATACTAGATTAATATTTTAGAGACGAATATTAGCATATAGATCACAGATAACAGTTTGTGCAATTTTTTTCCAAATATATATATATTCTCTATTTTCATATGTTTTCTTTAAAAATGGTGTAACTTGCCATGGTTTGTTGATGAGAAGTAGAAGAGAGCATTAGGTCTGAGAACCTGCCGGTGATAGCCTGTATCAGGTTCTGTATCTCTGGGTACTGAACTGGTCTGGACTGATGGTGGATTCTAAAAAGGAGAAAAACACAATTTAATTAAGGTTGTTGAAAAAAAAAAAAAAATTAGTACTCTACAGCCAAAGAATGAAGAGCATCTTCAACCCACAACAGTTATGACTCATGTGTACTAATGTATGTAACATGGTATAAAAATAAATAACAATGGCACAACTTACTGATAGCAGTTATTCTGCATTCTGATGTTCTGCTTAAATGTAGAGATCAAGCTCCCATAAATTATAAAGATGATGTGCTTTTTCTGAAATGCTCTCTTAGATAAAACAGATACAAAGCTTCCAAATGGTTCCACATTAGGCCTGTCACAATAACAAATTTTGCTAGATAGTAAATTCTAGCAGACATTAATGCAATAAACAAAAATCTTTTCATTTGGTTTGAATCCAAAATGCTTTCACACTGCAGCTGTCACATTCTGCTTTAAAGCCAATTCTATCTCTGTTTTTTTAAATCTCAACAATCTTCTTTTTTTTTGGCTTACTACACATTAATCATGAGGCTATCATGCAACATTTTTTACGCCAAGAAAACAATTGCCCCTTTTACACTACCCTTTTTGCACGGTAATCGTGATAACTGTTGAGTGTGAATAGCATGCAAAACTGAACAGGACCGTGCCAGACACAACCGAACCACAATAAACTGTACTAGTTCATCAGTAGGGCTCACTGCGGTTTAATTCTGGCTCAGTTCTCAGATAACAAAGTGCGCATGAGCAGACAATTTACTTGACTCTGTCAAGTAAATTAACCAAGGGCGGCCTTCTTCGCCTTACTCTCCGCAACCAACGAAATATCACAATTATAAGCAAACATAACTTCCTGAATGTTACTGCCGCCGCTTGATTCGCTTGATTCCCTCCTTCAATCCTAGAGATTAGTAGTACCGTAGATCGTCACTAGGAGGCGAGGAACCATGCTAGCATGATGTGTAAACGAATTGTAAGGAACCGAGCTTGGCACGGTTAACTGATCCGACCTCGGTACAGATCGATTTCAAAGGGTAGAGTAAATGGGGCTTACAGGGGGAGGGCTGGATTCAGACAGATGCACCAAACTAAACCTTTGTCTTCCAGACTCTTTAGTAGAAAGAAGCAGACACAAGGAAAACAAACAACTGGAAATTATTGAGCTTATTAATGCAATTACTTTTCCTTATACCATTACTTGATTGTTTATTGTGACAAGCCTGTGTTGCGTTTAGGCTAAGAAATGCTAAGCTTCAGCTAAACTGCCACCAAGTTTTCTTCTCCTTTGACATTAGGAGAGAAATTGTCAACAAAGGAAAGGGTGGAAATACATAAAGGGGTGTGTTTAGGAGGAATGGTCTTCTGATGCTGTGATATGTACTTCTATTCTAAATAGGGAATGAATCCTTAACGCTTTCAGATGAGGATGCCAAATTAACTATTGCATTTACATTTTACCGAATCAAAGCAATCTGTTTAAAGGTTAAGAAATTTCAGAAATCTTTTAAGGCATAAAAAGACATACTGTGGCGCTCCAAACTGTAAAAAAAAAAAAAAAAAAAAAAAAAACAGTGGTGGTGAGAGAATGCAGTACTTTAAAGAAAATAGTCAAGAACTGAATTAAGCAAAGTAGCATGAATTTTATTGTTCATATATCTGTTTAACTTTAAACTAGTTTGTAACTTTGGAAAAAAAACAAAACATAAAGCATGTATTAGTATTTCCTGGATGCATTTAGCAGCACACATCTCCTCAGTTTGAGTGTTTGTGTATACCTGAACAAAGCAGCTGCAGCTCTGACGGCCTGTGCAGCGACCAGCAGGCAGGAGGCGGAGACACCACCTTTCACAGCCTCTGACACCGCCACGAACCCTGAACCGCTGGGGAACAGGTGTATGCTTTGAGGCTGCCTGGTCAAACACATAAAACACCCATAAGACCATTACCAATTAGGTGCAAGTTACACAGGTTACCAAATCACTATTTAATATCAGGTCATCTTCCAAGTGCTGTGTTTGTTTTGATATAACAGAATGCTAAAAGAAGAAAGCTAACAAACAGCAGAAATGTTTCCTCTGCCAATTTATGTGTTACTCAAAGGCTTGCTGTGTGGACATGAGCACCATCCTCCTACGTCACTTATAGCCATTCACTCATGTTCACAGTGTTTTCTTTCCTTGAGGGTAAGCAGAGCACACATAATAAATAAATGGCATTGACCTCTTAGCATTACAAATATCATCCAGGTTTCCCTTTACTGTACGATGCACAACCATAACAGCTTTGGAAGGGGGTCGCTGTTGACACAATACTTTCTCCAGAGAACATCCTAAATAACAGAGGCATGCACAATGTCATGCGTGCAAATATTTCAGATCGTGCTGTTAAACTGTCAAACTCCAAAACAAATAAAACCTCATCACTCATCAAAATGCAGAACCACAGTATTTTATCGCTAAACTCTGGTTAGAAAAAAAAAAAACCTCCCCCACACACCCTCATCCACCCACATGCACATTCCTTCTGGCTTGTTCAGCACTTCAGTGCTTAAGCGCAGCTCTTAAAGGACAAATTTCTCTGTTAGATTATTAAATCTTTTATCCCTGCTATCATTACCATGTGACCGCTGGCATTCCATTAAAATCATGTCAACCTTGCAAAAATAGGGCGGTGTTTTATTAGCTGGCGATACATTTTCAATCATGCAGACACCAGACAGTTCATTTGGATCCAATTAAACTCCCCAGTGCACTGTACTTAACGTGTTTTACAAGAAGTCACTTCTCTCTGCAAGTGTAGCTGGAGTTGCAGTTTGAGGTCAGTTTTTGGGCAAGTAATCAAACTGTAATTTACATATACTGTCAGATATGTAAAATCTAATTAAGTCTGTAATAAATCACTAAAACTGTGACATTATGTAAGGAATATCTTAATGTTCTTCAAAACATCAGAACAGAAAGACACATGAATAAGTAAGGGGCAGCTTTCTTCCAACTGACCAATTAACATAGAGGACAAGCTAGAAACGTTATGCTAATGTCAACAAAGGGTGCATAATGAAGCTCTAGCGAAAGTTCAATTGAAGAAACTCTGACTTACCTCACATCATCAGAAGCCGATCCGTCTCCGAAGCGAGCCAATCAGCTTTGAACTACTCCACCACGAAGCCCAATCAGCGTCCTGCTTCCACTTTATAAACTCCCTCAAATCTCACCACAGCCGCTATCCTGCAATCCAATGTCGGATTTCGATCCAGACGACAATTCAATTTTCCCCGCTCGGAGAAACTCCCGTCTAGCCGCTCTCATCTCCTTCTTCCGCGTTACACTCCAAGGGTATATTGCCAGGCTCCGACCTAGACTCTGCTCAGATGTCTTGACGAGCCTCCCTCCTACCTCCTCGTGATTCATCTCCCTCGCCTTCCGCTTCAATCCGCTCCGATTCCTGGCCGCAAAAGACATGCAAGTCCTCCGCTCCCCTCGCCAGGCGCAGAAGGCCTCCCGGATCTGTCCCAGCAGCAGTCACCACTACGCCCGCTCCTTCTCATCGTTTCGATGCAGCCTTGGACCTCTTCAGCTTCCTGATTCATAGCAGCTCCCCCGTCTAGTCCTTCTGGCGTTTAACAGCTCTCAGCCTCCCTCCGCCCCACCGGACTCTCTCACTCAATCCTTCGACGCTGTCCGCACGCTCCAAACGTGGGAATCCCTGCACTGCCACGTCATCCCTGCCGCTGTCTGCTCAGACGGACCTCCCCCTCCCCTCATTCACATTAGGGAACGCCCGCCCTGGGCCAGCCTTAGGGTAAGACGTATTCAACCATGTTTTCATTCATAATTTTCTATCTATTTGAGTTTGCTCTTATGCTTCGTCTGCCTCTATCAGGCATACTTATATTAACACACATGCTGATATTTTCCCTAGCCTCGTTCTAAATTATTCAGGGGAATATTTTAATTTAGTCTCTTATTCTTCCCTCCCCTGAAGTCGATCAGCAGGTGACGTCACCGTTTTTCTTAAATCATCCGATCTCCGTCTACCAGAGATCTTTCTATTGGCCAAAATTTTGGCCGCATTCAGCATCTATCGTGATTACTCAGAGCTTCTGCAGGAGGCCATCCGATCAGTCTGTCTCCGCCGTGCACGCTTCATATATATCGTACCTCAGTCTTAGCAGCCCGTCATCTTACCACCCCTTATTATTGCTTCTGATTATCGTTCTGTCTTCTTCTTCTTCAAAAAAAAAAAAAAAAAAAAAAACACAAACTGATGTTCTACATCAGTCATTTCTAAATGCCAATTGCGCTCCTTGCTAGGTCAGCTAATTTGCCATGCGCTTATTTCTCAAGGCCGCGCTTTCATTCCCAGTTGCTTGATCCGGCAATTTCCGTCCCTCTCCTTGGTCAGATTACTGAACGTAGGCTGCCGTTCGGATCTCCTGGTCTGACTGCTTCTATTGGAACAATTTCTTTTCTATGTCGAAATTATCTATCTCCTGCCATGCTTCAAAATTTTTCGGATGCTGCATCCGTAGGTTTTGGGGGGTTCTTCAGGACAGGTGGTTCATGGCCTCTTTTATTCACACCCATTATGCTTGTGTGAGGTCTAACCCTAGCTAGCTTGCATCGTGGGGCTTTGGGAAGGAATCGCGTCCGCCCACTGCGATAACTTCGTAGTAGTTGAAGCCACTAATAAGTCTCTACTCCTCCCAGTCTCTCATGCCTTCATCAGAAGCATCACTGGCAGCAGTCACTAACGTTTCATCATCTCAGTGCGTTATGTTCAGGCATTCAGCACTTTTATTCGCCCAAGCATTACCCTACGTCCACCATGGTTCTTCACCACCTTAGGATACTCTTAGAATCACGTGGCCTTCCCTCTAGTAGGTAATCTGGGCATTCGTTCTGGACCGAGCAGCTGCATTGCAGCTACTCGTGGGGTTCTGAGGCTTCTCTCAGCTCTGGGCCGATGGCTCACCAGCCTATACCTCATTCATCCGCCCAGAACTCTCACCAATTCTCTCAGCTCAGTGCTCTCTGCCTCTAGGTAACACTATTTCAAATACTGGTGGTGGTTCAACTCATTTTCATAATTTTCTGACCTAATCACGACTATCCTCTAACTCATTTTCTACTCCCACTCCTTATCAGTTTTCTTCATTATTCCCTGCTTCATCAGTCTTCCATGCTGTCTCCTGGCTATTCATGCTATCTTCATTCTGGCTCGCATTCATGCAATCTCACCTTTATGACAGGCATTATATGGATTCTCCTGTGTGTCACGTCACGTCTGGTCTGTGTCTCGTCATGCACCCTTGACACCATTTAGCATGCATTCCCTAATGCATCAATTCTTCATATATGTAACCATCCGCAAGAATCATCCGCAAGATTCATTATCAGACTCATCCGCAAGATTCATTATCAGACTCATCTGCAAGATTCATTATCAGACTCATCTGCAAGATTCATTATCAGACTCATCCACAAGATTCATTATCAGACTCATCCGCAAGATTCATTCCCCATGCATCACATGCTCCCTATCTGTGTCTCGTCGTGTCCCGTCATGCATCCCTTACGCCATTTTGCTTGCATTTTCAATGCATCAATATGCACCATGTCTGCGTCTCGTCATGTCTGTATCCCGTCATGTTATATGTTCTATATGGACTCATCCGCAAGATTCATTATCAGACTCATCCGCAAGATTCATTATCAGACTCATCCGCAAGATTCATTCCCCATGCATCACATGCTCCCTATCTGTGTCTCGTCGTGTCTCGTCATCCATCCCTACGCCATTTTGCTTGCATTTCCAATGCATCAATATGCACCATGTCTGCGTCTCGTCATGTCTGTATCCCGTCATGTTATATGTTCTACAGGTGCTGGTCATAAAATTAGAATATCATGAAAAAGTAGATTGATTTCAGTAATTCCATTTAAAAAGTGAAACTTGTATATTATATTCATACATTACATACAAACTCATATATTTCAGATGTTTATTTTGTTTAATTTTGATGATTACAAATGACAACAAATGAAAATCTCAAATTCATCATATCAGAAAATTAGAATATTGTGAAAAGGTTCAAAATTGATGGCCCCTGGTGCCACACTCTAATCAGCTAATTAACTCAAACCACCTGCAAAAGCCTTTAAATGGTCTTTCAGTCTAGTTCTATAGGCTACACAATCATGGGGAAGACTGCTGACTTGACAGTTGTCCAAAAGACGACCATCGACACCTTGCACAAGGAGGGCAAGACACAAAAGGTCATCGCTAAAGAGGCTGGCTGTTCACAGAGCTCAGTGTCCAAGCACATTAATAGAGAGGCGAAGGGAAGGAAAAGATGTGGTCGAAAAAAGTGTACAAGCAAGAGAGATAACCGCACCCTGGAGAGGATTGTGAAACAAAACCCATTCAAAAATGTGGGGGAGATTCACAAAGAGTGGACTGCAGCTGGAGTGAGTGCTTCAAGAACCACCACACACAGACGTATGAAAGACATGGGTTTCTGCTGTCGCATTCCTTGTGTCAAGCCACTCTTGAACCACAGACAGCATCAGAAGCGTCTTGCCTGGGCTAAAGAGAAACAGGACTGGACTGCTGGTGAGTCATGTTCTCTGATGAAAGTAAATTTTGCATTTCCTTTGGAAATCAAGGTCCCAGAGTCTGGAGGAAAAGAAGAGAGGCACTTCATCCACGTTGCTTGAAGTCCAGTGTAAAGTTTCCACAGTCAGTGATGGTTTGGGGTGCCATGTCATCTGCTGGTGTTGGTCCATTGTGTTTTCTGAGGTCCAGGGTCAACGCAGCCACATACCAGGAAGTTTTAGAGCACTTCATGCTTCCTGCAGCTGACCAACTTTTTGGAGATGCAGATTTCATTTTCCAACAGGACTTGGCA